ACTGTCTCGATGATGGTGACATTGCCAGCCTCTGAAGCGAAGTAAAGTAAATTTTCTCCCGATTGGCTCGTCATAAAGAAATCGGCCCTGTTGTCTAGAAGATAATTTACTGCATCTATCTTGCTGTCTACAACAGCCAACATCAACGGGGTGGTGCCATTACTATCCTTGCAATCAACATCTAGACCACGTGACAGTACTGTATCGATGATGGTGACATTGCCAGCCGCTGAAGCGAAGTGCAGTAAATTTCTTCCAAACTTGTTTTTCACAAAGGGATCAGCTCCTTTGTCTAAGAGAAAATTAACGGCTTCAATCTTACCAGACGCTGCAGCCTTCATCAATGGTGTGTTCCCATATCTACCCCTTGAATCGATGTGTAGACCACGAGATATAATTTTCTGGAGAATAGTCACATTACCACCGTGTGAAGCGTAATGCATGAGATTTTCTCCAAACCAACTTACCATGTAGGGATCAGCGCCCTTGTCTAAAAGATAATTAAAGGTTTCAATCTTGCCAACTGCAGCAGCCAACATCAACGGTGTGGTGTCATTACTATCTTGGCAATTGACGTCTAGACCACGTAGTATTATTGTCTCGATGATGGTAACATTGCCAGTCTGTGAGGAGAAGTGCAGTACGTTTCTTCCCGAATGGTTTTTCACAAAGGGATCAGCTCCCTCGGCTAAAAGAATTTCCACAGCTTCAATCTTGCCAGACGCTGCAGCCCTCATCAAAGGTGTATTGCCATGACTATCTTTTGAATCGACATCTACACCACGATAAATTAGTATCTCCATGACGGCGACATTACCACCCTGTGAAGCGGAGTGCAGAGCATTGTTTCCAAACTGGCCTTTCGCCAAGGGATCAGCTCCTTTTTGCAATAAATAATTCACAGCTTCACTATTGCCAGATGAAGCAGCAATTCTCAAAGCCGTGTTAACATCAACATCCGGGCCACGTGACAACACATCATCAACGATGGCGAAATTCTTACTCTGCAAAGCTAATGACAGTGACAACCACTCGTTATCCATTACCGTCTGGGTGTCACATTCATCTGAAATAAAGAATGAAGAATATAATAACCATAGGGACATATTTTTGAGATTCCGTACTGAAAAGGCCTTTTATACTGAATATTTCAATGACCTCTGTTTGATTTTTTGGCCTTTAAGCAAGCCACAAAGCGTTTGGTGTGATGTTTATATATCAGTATAATTTCGGATCGTTTCCTGCATGATGTAATAAATAACTGTAATAAATAAATGTTATAAAAAATGTAATAAATAAATGTAATAAATAAATGTAATAAATAAATGTAATAAATGAAGGGCTGATGGTTAACGTTTACGTAAGCTTTGAAAAATAATGAGACGTCTACTTTATCTATACATAACATCTAAAGCACGGTTTCCTGCATTTTACGGATAATAATAATAATAATAATAATAATAATAATAATAATATATTTAACGTGGAGAAACAATTAGCTGAAAGCTAGTTTACAGGTTTTCCACCAAACAACTGAAACAAATAATTCAAATTGAAATGGAGGATTGAAAGGGATGATGATGTCGTGACTGCGAGTTGCGTTACGCAAGTTTCTGTTTTCCGGTGATGACAGCTAGACGTCAAATTCGCCCGTTTTGAACCTTGAGTCCTTTGATATATGAGACGAGTAGTGGGAGTGCGTGAGAGTAGAGAGGGAGAGAGTAAAAACCGAAGAATTGTGACAGCTAGGCTGAGTGCTGGGCCTTTAAAACTGTTAAAATCAAGAAATTGTGAGTTTCTTTGTCGACGAAAACCGATTCCCGACAATGATAACGCTTTTCTTTGCTTTCATCACTACAAGAACAAAAAACAAACATACGAAAAAAAATATGAAGTAAGCTTAGGTAACTGTGCCTCTCGATACTGACCACTTATATCTACGCTAAACTCAGATGTTTAGCGTAGATATATGTTCAGTTCCATTTCCAAACCGCTGTCAGTTATCTCTGTTATCAAACTCTGCGTCTCGAATGGAAGATTGTCCACGTACATCTTGGTTTTTCCGAGCCATTCGTAGCTGGCATTCTGATCTAAACGATAATAAGTGAACAAAGTTTTTACCCAACAAAAGTCGTTTTAGGGTGTAAATGAATATATATGTTGAACAGCTTTTTGAATGTCTAGATACTAGTTACAGTATAAGGCGGGATCCATTTTTCACAGAAATAAATGTTTGATAGATGATAATGCCTACAGTTTGCGCTATGGATATAATCTACACTCGCTGTCAACTATTCATCCACTATAATAATTCTAACATACAACTGGTTCAAATTTGAAGTGCTCTTGACACTACAATATCTTAGTATATTTTTCTGGAAAATCCTCTGTTAGACTGAGGTATGTTAGTATGCGTTTATGTCGGTAAAATGGTCACGAGAGGCCTTCTCTATTTCAATACTGTAATAAACAGTTCTGATAAATATCACACTTATACTTCTGCGCTGTGTGCTGTGAGTGGTAAAGCTTTTAATTCTAGTGCTACACTAAAACATAGCCGAGAATTCACCAAGGGGAAAAAACAGGAGTGTGAACCCAGATAAACTAATTCTCTTGAGCGAACTTATTATGACTAGGCATTTCTCGCTCCTTCAGCTCTCATTAGAAATGCTACCCTTTTCAGAGGTTACCAATGTGATCGAAGGTTCTCTAAAAGTAGGTTTCCATGGAACACATTCTGATGTTACGTTAAGTCAATTCAAGGGACCATTCACTTATCAAATTGCTTCAACCACCCAAGTAAGTGACAAAAATCGAGGACAAAATTACAAAAGATGTCACCATTTGTGCCATTTTTTATACTCTAGGAGTCAACGCATTTTTTCCCATGAATAGCGGATTCTCCTTTCGCCTTTACACTTCGTAAAGAAAAGGACTATCTAACTATTTTGCTTTGATATTGTGAACAACATTTAATTTACCTAGCCCTTCTGATGATAAATCAATCGGCCTTCTTATCTCTAGAATTTCCACTCTTTCTTCCAGGAGCTTTATTTTATTCTCAAGTTGAGTGAGCTTCCTCAGCGACACCTCATCTTGGCTTGGCTTAAGAAGTAAAAATGAGTCAGAGAGTCTGCGATTTCTTACTTGAGGTCGTCCACTATCTCCTGTCAATCAAAAATAGTCCAAGTAAAACAATTGCATCTTATTGAGGCAGCTCAAAAATGATTCGTAGTTACATTAAGCACTTAACACCGACGTTAACACTATACAAAGTTCTTTAAGGCCCTGGCTTCGTACAAAAACTTTGCAAAGAAAATATGTGTGCGCAGTTATACCTAAACTGAAAAATTGATATGAACATTGAAAAAAGTTATTGAATTAAATGCAACTATGTGCATAGGAAAAATCAAATCAGCGAAGAGTCTACCATCGATACAACTCTTTATTCCCCACATGTACATCTACGGTTGAACAAAATAAACGATAACAGAATTTAAACGATGGTTCCAGAGACTTGGCAAATCTAACGTTAATAACTTAGGCGCTGTATTGGTCGATGGATCGTAGATTTGGCCTCTAAAAACATTACAGGTTTAAATTCATTCTTCTCTTTTGGTCTGACATTTCCTCTTTATTATAGACGATACAGATATTCATTAACTTTTTTAATTAGATTTTGACACTACCATTTTCCACACCTCCTCGCATGGCTGGAGAAATTTTTAATTAGACTGTGACACATTACAATTTTCCACACCTCGCACGGCTAGAGAAATAAAAAACCTTAAATTTCATATTTACCGTTCTCCAATGCAACCATTTGAGGATCTAGAACATCCATTCTTTCCTCGAGAGACACAACTTGGTGCTTAACTTGTGCTAGTGTTATCAGCAACTTTTCATCTGTTCTGGGTGGGACAGATAGCACTGAGTCGGAGTGTCTTCGAACACCTCTTTCCGGAATTCCCCTCTCGTTATCTAACAGAAGTCAGACTCAGTGTAAAACAATTATTATAGCTCTTTGCATGTGCACACCTGACAAACATAAATTCTTTGGTGTTTCTGGGATTTAGAGAATGGGCGTTTGGGTAAACATCTGCCTAAAGGCTAGCCATCCGAGAGAAATCCGGGGGGTGCGCACCCCCGCAACCCTCCGCTGACAATTTTTAAATTCAGGTCCTCAGCCTAGGTCCGCAGAAGGGTGATTTGTAGCGTTTTAGAGATAATGATCATGTGTTATCTTTTTTCGTTCCTTTGAAAAAAGAACTATTATTTGCTATTCTAACATGGACTACCCTCAAAAGTTTACAATAATCGAGTTTAATCTTGAAATTTAAACCAATTAAAACAACGGTCGCTTGAGCTTCCTCAAAAATGGGATCAACAAAACTCAGTCTCCGAGGTTATCCACTTAAGTGGTTCTAATTTCAAACATATATCAGCAGACGTTTTTGTGAAATAGCATCCTTCTGCGTTCGTACAATCCAGTTCGCAGAACTTTCAGAGAAAATTACTCACCATCAGCTTCTTGGACAAGCTCAGAGTAAGCTTTCTCGTATTCTTCCCTTTCAATCGTCACAGTCAATTCCACATTCTCCTCACCACCGGCACGGGTCTTCATTTCATCAGTCACAAAAAAATCGAATAAATGTTCCTTGAGCGTGCCATCCTCGTACCTGTTCCATAAAGCAGTGAGCCCCATCAGATTGTCGACCTGAATTGTAAAGCACACACACCCTTGACCCACTTCAATCAATCTTGAACCAGCAGGAAGCACACA